GGCAGAAGACATGAACAGACATTTCTGCAAAGAAGACATCCAGATGGCCAACAGACACATGAAAAAGTGCTCCACATCCCTCGGCATCTTGGAAATACAAATCAAAACCACAATGAGATACCGCCTCACACCAGTCAGAATGGCTAAAATTAACACGTCAGGAAATGACAGATGCTGGTGAGGATGTGGAGAAAGGGGAAACCTCCTACACTGTTGGTGGGAATGCAAGCTGGTGCAACCACTCTGGAAAACAGCATGAGGTTCCTCAGAATGTTGAGAATAGAACTACTCTATGACCCAGCAATTGCACTGCTGGGTATTTACCCTAAAGATACAAACGTAGTGATCCGAAGGGGCACGTGCACCCGAATGTTTATAGCAGCAATGTCTACAATAGCCAAACTATGGAAAGAACCTAGATGTCCATCAACAGACGAATGGATAAAGAAGAGGTGGTATATATACACAATGGAATACTATGCAGCCATCAAAAGAAATGAAATCTTGCCATTTGCGACGACGTGGATGGAACTAGAGGGTATCATGCTTAGCGAAATAAGTCAGTCGGAGAAAGACAACTATCATATGATCTCCCTGATATGAGGGAGAGGAGATGCAACATGGGGGGTTAAGGGGGCAGGAGAAGAGTAAATGAAGCTAGATGGGATTGGGAGGGAGATAAACCATAAGTGACTCTTAATCTCACAAAACAAACTGAGGGTTGCTGGGGGGAGTGGGGTTGGGGGGGTGGGGTTATGGACATTGGGGAGGGTATGTGCTATGGTGAGTGCTGTGAAGTGTGTAAACCTGGCGATTCACAGACCTGTACCCCTGGGGGGAAAATATATTATATGTTTATAAAAAATAAAATTTAAAAATAAATTTAAAAAAAATAACCATGAAATCTTACCATTTGCAACAACATGGATGGAACTAGAGGGTATTAGGCTAAGTGAAATAAGTCAATCAGAGGAAGACAATTATTTTATGATCTCTCTGATATGAGGAATTTGAGAAGCAGGGCGGGGGTTCATGGGGGGGAATGGAGGGAAAAATGAAACACAATGGGATCAAGGAGGGAGACAAACCATAAGAGACTCTTAATCTCAGGAAACAAACTGAGGGTTGCTAGAGGGATGGGAAGGATAGCATGGCTGGGTTATGGACATTGGGGAGGGTATGTGCTATGGTGAGTGCTGTGAATTATGTAAGACTGATGATTCACAGACCTGTACCCCTGAAACAAATAATATATTATATGTTAATAAAAATATTATATAGAGCTAGAAAATTTCAGATTCCACATTTCCTAACCATTAGCTCACTGTTCTATTGTTACCTCATCTCTGAGTTCCTATAGTACATTTAGTTTATGCCATGGCATTTAGTTTGTATGCAAGCATTCATTTCATTAACTCAAAAAGTTATTCTCTGTGTGCCAAGCACTCTTGTAGGCACTGCAGACAGTCCCCAAATTTAGAAATTATACTGAAAATAGGATAAGAGAAAAGTAGATTCTATTCAGCCTCCATTTGATTTTGGTTGAATACACACATACAATTAGCCACCTATGTATATTACTGGGTGGTTTTAACATATTACTTACAAGAACTTTACTATGTTATTATTATATTTAAGGGAGTAAAAAAGTTCTTTAGCATTTTGAAAGGTGAGAAAAACAAATAATTCAACTCAAAGCACATTGTTTGCATACCATGTACCTGGTAATGTGTTTGGCAACCTCAAAAACAAAGCTATATGAAACAAAGAATGTGTGTGCATAAAACATTGTGGTCGGCATGCAAATAGCACTGTAGAATGAGAGAGGAATGACTAAGTAACTCTGAGCAGGAGTCTAGATGGGACTTTATGGAGGAGTTAACCCTAGAGTTTAAAGAGCAAAAGGTTGCTTTAAGAATGCAGAAGGAAGGGGCACTCTGATGGCTCAGTTGGTTGAGCATCTGCCTGCCTTTGGCTCAGGTCAGATCTCAGGGTTCTGGGATGAAGCCCCACTTCAGACTCCCTGCTCTGCTCCCTCTCCCTCTGCCTACTTGTGCTGTCTCTCTCCCTCTCTCTCTCTCTCTCTCTCTCTGAAATAAATAAAATCTTAAAAAGAAAAAAAAAAAAGAATACAGAAAGAAATCTTAAGTCCAGGGAACAACACGTGCATAGGCATGAAACTGTGAACAGTCCTGGCATTTCCGTGAAAGTTTAATGCAGCAAACTACTAGGGTGTCTTGGAAGGAGTGGTCAATAAGCATTTTCAGATATTATTAGGTTGAAGAATGGAAATAATGAAATGTGAGACCTTATTTTGCACCTGGGTATTCCTCATGCATCTACCTGTTTCTGTTCCTAGGTGTTAAGTTCTTTGAGAACATCGATGGTATTCTGTACTTTGCAATCTGACAGTGACACGTGCAGTGCTAAGCATGACAAGGACTCAGTACATGCTTGCTGATTAATTATGCTCATCATTCACTCAAAAAATATTTTTGACTCCAGCATGTGTAAGGTTCTATACTTTGTGCTATGAGAAATTTTTTTAAAAGTTGTAAGACAGCCAGCTTTCAAGGAGTCTTGAACCTAAAGCAAAAAATTATAAGGAATTTTTTCTGTTGTGATGATTTATATGGTCATGTGTTCACAGAGCTTATGCTCTTGTCAGAGGAAATCACAAGAGGGTAAATGTTAAAAATGTAGAGGAAATAACAATAGGGTAAATATTAAATGGGGTAAACACTAAGGAGAAAAACAATAAAATAGGAAAGGGCGATATAAATTACCAGAGAGGAAAAGACAAAGTAATTTAATTTCTCTTGCCTCCATATCCTTAATTCTAGAAAAGAAAAAATAATAATATTTATTTATAGGGTTGTGATAAGGATTAAACAAGTTAATATATTTATGTGTAAAATGTTCAGTGCTGTTCCCAGAAGATGGTAGGAAGTCAGCTAATATTGTTCATACATCTGTCTTGAATAGCTTTAGAATAGTAGTCACCTTATGTTCATCACTTATCAACTTCTTTTATTGAAGGATATACTTCCAAATGGTTTTGAACTACTTTATCTACAGGCTAAAACTCCCTCATGCTTATCTTGCTCCTTTTAGCTTCTATTTCCAATACATTCACATCTAAAAATACTTTCTATTGAAGTGAATTGTTGTACTTTGATAGTATTTCTTCTAGAAAACAGTATCTGCTTATCTGGATGTCAGGTCACTGTTTTCTGTTTCAGGCATGAAGCAGGCATCCAGACCTTCCTGCACAAAGTATTCATTAATGCTTCATTACTTAGCCCATCTCAAGGTTAAAAGGCCTGACAAAATGAGACCTTTATGCTTGCTCACCAGCTTAAAAATATATATCCAATATTGGAATTGTTATCAGACAGAAACATAAAATCTTCAATATGACTCTTTTGGAACTAAGATCATTTGCATGGATGAGATGAAGTTTGAAGTCTCCTACTAACCTTTCTTTGTCTAACTTCAGTGCATCTTTAAATGTATCCTGTGTCTCCCTCTCTCTGATCCCTGAAAACTAGATTAGCTTGCTCTTTGTGCTCCTTTAGCACTCCACATTTAGCCCTATTGTAGCCAGTGTCATTCAGTATTGTAATTACCTGTTTCCCTAATTGCGTTACTCCCTGCCCTCCACCTCCCAGTCATGTATGCTCTTTATGTTCAGTTCCTTGGTATCCATTACTGTGCTTCACTTGTAGTTGATGCCTAGTAAATAGTGAAAACACTCAACCTATTGTCTGGAGTGCCTTTAATATATCAGGATTATAGGGACATAGTTATTTAATCTTGGTTCCATATTCCTTAGCTGCTGCTTTGTCCCTCCTGGCGGCTTTCTGAGGAACAGCAATGTGCAAGCATATGTACACCACGTCCTATTCACATTCCCCTGTCCTGCTTTGGCCTAAAACCAAAAGCAAAAAAAGAACAAGTAGGCTGGCTCTCAGGAAATACACAAAGATGGAGGAGCATCCTGTGTCATAATTATGGTCCAGCATGTGGTCCTTACTCTTCCAATTAGAAGAAAAAGTTGAGGGTGCATGGCTGGCTCAGTCAATAGATACACGACTCTTGATCTCATGTTGGACATAGAGATTACTCTAAAAAATAAAGAAAATCAAGAAAAAAATTATTTGCCATTGCTCTCATGGGTGATGGGACTTTAGGGTCTGATACAGGTCACCTGTATTTATAAGAAATTAATTTATAAGCCAAACGTAAGCCATTTATCTGTTTATTTGCTCTCATTGACTGAAATACTTGTACCAAATATCCAAATTATGAACTTGATGATATCAAAGCACCTATGAAATCCAACAAAAATCAGAAGGTTGTTCATTAGCTATGGAAAGAGAACAAAATGAGCTACACTGTCCCAAGGATTATTTTACCCTGACTGAGAAAGAACCTTGTCAATGTCTCCTTGATGGCTAGGAGAAAATACAGTAAGGGGTGATAAGGTCTCAAGTACACTTTTGAAAGTCTTACGATTTTTTTTCCTATTTGCTGAAAGGAAACGATGTTAAAAGTCGAGGGGTGGCATTTTACAACTCAGTAATGGTAATGTACAATTTGCTTCCATAATTCTTTGATCCCAAGATGAGTTCTTGAGATAATGCTAATGTGGTGTTACTGATGATGGGGCTGTGAAAGAAGGGGTGATAGAAGATTGAAGTTGGGTGAGAATTCTGTGTAACCTCTACCTCCTCCAACTCAAAAATCACCATGGTTTCAGTCATCTCAATTTTATCAAGAAAATTAACTGTTTGCTCATGGTTTTAGCTGCCTTACCAGCTCTCCTTCACATACTAATGCGTGATGATCCACTGAGAGTTCATTCTCCACCACTGTGAAGAAACTATGAAGTGTAGGTTAAGTGGTTGTTTTTAAAAAAAAAAAAAAAAAAGCTATACTTCTTGTCAGAGGCTACAGTGAGTCCTTCAAGCCTTATCTCAAGGTCCTTTCTATTCCAGAGATTGGAAACCCAAGTGCCTACAGAGGCCAGGCTGATGGGAATGAAGCAGGAACCTACTGCACTGAACTGGAGAGCCAAGTCCTTTCTGAAGGAGCAGCCGCTGCTCCGTTCCAGATAATTGTTGAAAGGCAGGAATGTTGACCTAGTATTACCACATTGCCAGTTTCTCAGGTAAAGCAGGAAATGCAAATTTTCATATGAAATCCTTTAATTTAAATATAGTCAACTAATTTTACTATTATTCTCAAACTGTGTACATGCCAAACACTTCTGCAAGTGGGATTTGGCCCAGAGTCCTCTTGTTTGTAACTTGGTCTTGTATTTTGTTTAACTGTTTGTTAAATTAGAGACTTCATTTTCTACAGGTTTTGCTTTTCTTCAGCATGTTCTCTAAGACACTCTATACCTGGTTTTATGATACTGAAACTGCCTTCCTCTGCAACCTGAATACTTGTGCATAAGTTTTCTTTGGCTGCTACATTTCCTCTGCCTCCCTCAGGATTCCAGTTAGCAGTCCAATGCTAAGTGGAGTTTCCTTGAGACACTTTTCATTTGACACCACAAAACATCTACAGGTATTACTACTCATTCATTTTGTTCCTGATGTGTGAGCTACATAAACACAGTAAAAGTTCACTTATTTCATGGGACCAAGGGATTATATGCTTCGACTCCTGTTTTTAGAATCCACACAGATATAATATTCCTCCTCTTCCTTCTTGAAAGACCTTATTGAACAACTAGACTATAGTTATCTTTTACATTTAATTATACTTGTTGGAAGCATTGATTGGACCTGAGCATTCCTAGATATTGGTACATATTTAGAGACAGTATCTTTGGGTGGGTTTCTACAATGGCTGAGGAGTCTTCTTATTTCCGCCTTGAGTAAACTGATTTTCAAGGTTACTAGGGGGCACCATTACCTCTCTACAGAACTGATTACTCCAAGTAGTAACTGGGTATCTATTGCCAGATGAATTGAAGAGTGCTAAACACTTGTATATAAAAAAGTATATAAATATGAGTTGTTTAAATATGTTATACAACCCCAAAGGGGCATAATTCATAATTGTCTCATTCTTTTTATTACCACAGATTTAATTAATTTTAAATTGAAGTATGACTGATATACAATATCCTATTACTTTCAGGTGTACATCATAGTGATTAAATATTTTCCTACCTTACAAAATGATCCCTATGATAAATCTAGTTACCACCTGTCCCTATACGAAGTTATTGCAACATTACTGACTGTATTCCCTATGCTGTACATTACATACTCATGACTTATTTATTTTATAACTGGAAGACTTTACCTCTTAATCTTCTTCATTATTTTGCCTACCCTCCAAGCCCTCTCCCTTCTGGTAACAAAAGGTTTGTTTCCTGTATCTACGAGTCTGTTTTTGTTTCATTTTGTTTGTTCATTTGTTTTTTTAGATTCCGTAAGTAAGTGAAATCCGGTAGTATTTGTCTTTTGTTATCTGACTAACTTCACTTGGCATAATACCCTCTAGTCTACTCTACAATAGATTATGTAAATGCAGACAAGTATTTTTTCTAAGTATTCGCTAAGAGAAACCTCACTATAGTACAGAAAAACGAAAGTAGCAAACTCTGCTGGTGGCTAATATGCAGAAAGAAATCATAAATAATTTTTCCCTCAGCAGTGTAGTGAGTTTATCAGTTAATTTATAGATGTGCTGGTATAACTTCTTATTATACTTTAAACAGTCCTCTTTTTCTTTTTTTACAGAATACATATTTGGGAGCTGGTAATTGTATACTTTATAGCTTTTAAGAAAGTAAAATGGGGGCACGTGGGTGGCTCATCCAGTTAAGGCTCCAACACTTGGTTTTGGCTCAGGTCCTGATCTCAGGTTCATGAGATGAGCCCAACTTTGGCATCTGCACAATCTCTTCTTGAGATTCTCTGCCTTTCCCCATCCATTAGCCCCTCCCCCTACTTGCACACTCTCTGTCTCCCTCTCTCTCAAATAAATAAATAAAAGAATGTATAGTAAGAATTTTTTACATATGTATACCGACCCTCACTTTCCACTTCCTTAAATATTTTTATCTTTATTTATTTATTTATTTTAGAGAGAGAGAGACTGCATGAGCATGGGGGGCAGAGGGAAAGGGAGAGAGAAGACTTAAGAAAGTTCCACACCCAGTGCAGAACCCAATGCCAGGCTCGATCTCACAACCCTGAGATCATGAGCTGAGCCAAAATCAAGAACTGAGCTACCCAGGTGCCCTTAAATATTTTTAAAGGCAAAAGGGGAAGCTTTAACTTCTCCCAATTGCTCTTTCTTTGCACTCATGCAGAATGGCAAGGGTAAAAATAAAGCTTAGTTATGTGTAGTAATATATGTGAAATTCTGGACATTATAAGGAGGAATTGTAAGGGGTACCCAGTTTAGACTTGGAAAACCAACTAATGGTTGGAGAAATCTGGGAAGGCCTCTCTGAGGAAGTGACACTTAAACCAAGAGAAATAGAAGTTGCTTTAATGAGCAAGAATGTAGGGATGGGAGATATATTCCAAGCAGAAAATTAAGAGTGATACTCTGAAGCATTTTAGAACCAATCAAAGGGATAATCTTAATTTTTTTTTCTAGTATTAAAACATCCAGGTTAATGTAGGATTTTGTATATTTTTCTCTACTTGGCTAAAACAGAAAGAAAAATAATAGCATAATACTAGGCACAAAGCTTGTGACTTTTCCCAAAAAAAGTTTCCCTAATGCTTTTAAAGATTAGGAAAACATTAATTGGCTGATCTATGGATATAGTATTTATTTTTTTGGAAATAATATTTTTTCTGATTGAAAAGTCAATACATTTTTGCTATGGAAAATTCTGAAAATACAGAAAAGCAATGAAGAAAATAAAAATCACTCATATTCCTGCTAGCTAGAGACAACCAGTGAGAAGGCAGTGCTGTTCTACTCCACATCTACATATGTAGCAGCATTTTTGTAAATGAAGATATGTAGTATGTTTTTATCACCTGACAATATCATGGATCTTTTACAGTGCTATTAAGTTTTCCATAACATGATTTTAATAGCTATGCATAAATAATAATTTAGCTACTCACTGTGTGCTGGCCACTGGTTTAAGACTTTTTTTTTTTTTTAAGATTTCATTTATTTATTTGACAGACAGAAATCACAAGTAGGCAAAGAGGCAGGCAGAGAGTGGGGGGCGGGAGGCAGACTCCCCGCTGAGCAGAGAGCCCGATGCAGGGCTCCATCCCAGGACCCTGGGATCATGATCTGAGCTGAAGGCAGAGGGTTTAACCCACTGAGCCACCCAGGCGCCCCTGGTTTAAGACTTTTAATTTGTATCCACAGAACAATTCTATAGGGCTATAATCTCTGTTTTATAAAGGAAAGAAATTTTAAAACTTGCCCAAGGTCACAAGCTAATAAAGGGTAGAGCTACATAGCTGCTCAATACAGTAATTAATTTACATAAAACCCTATTTTTAGGCTTACGGGTTGTTTTCTGTATAATTTTTGGCTATCTGAAAAAATAGTCATGATTTTGTGGGTTGGCAGTGTAGGTTGGGTTCACCTGGGCCAGCTCATCCCTGGTCCACATGGTGTTGACTGGACTCCCATGTCTTAGCCCTTAGCTGTTTTGACTGGACTAGCTGGGCTTGTCTCTCCTCACCAGGACTCCCATTCTTAAGCGGCCTGGTTCAGGTTGTTCTTGGGACAGTGACATTCCAAGAAGCAAGGGTGGAAGATGCAAGGTTTAGACTCAGCACTTGAACAGTACTGCATCTATCACATTCCACTGGTCAGAGCAAGTTGCAAGGCCAGACTAGACTCAAAGTGCAGAGTAATAAATCCTACTTCCTGATAAAAGGAGCTACAAAGTATTTCAGGCCAATTGCAGTCTACTATACTCAACATTTTGCTCTCTGAGGGCTTCTGTGTGACTAGAATGTATAAGTTGCTTAACATTGGCAGCTAGAAATGGATATAAATAATTCCCCTAATCATAGATGGGCATAGGCCAAGATGCCTGTTACCTTGACTTTAAGAACTGGCCTCCTTCTGAGGAACCTATTCCCATACCTTCCGAGTTTGTGAAAAAATGTAACCTTCCTATGTAAATACGATCCCTCATGTATAGGTTGTGAACGTTTACACTTTTCTGCCCTAACAGGGCAAAGACATTGGGAACTGGAGAGCTTCGGTAATCAGGGCAGGAAAGATGTGCTTATGGTACCCTAACACAACTATATGAAACAAATGTAAATGTGCTGAGGGTAGTTTGGGGTAAGTAGAGCCTGATAGTAGAACCTGATAGAGCCTTACATTGGATGCATATGAGAAGTATGTTTTAGAAGAAGTGGCTATACAGTGAAGATAAGAACCAAATGACAATAAGAACCAGAATGAATATAGGGATAATCTAAGGGGAAGTTTTTTAAAAAATGAAAAAAGATGTAACTGCAAGATAAGTGTGCTCATAAATAAAAATGCATATAGCTTGAATAAATAGGTGAAAGGTGAAACAGATGGGGAGGTTGGATGGGAGGGCTGGCTAAGTACTGTGAAGGAGCTGTTTGAATAATTGATAGGAGGGTGAAAGATAATTGGAAAGGAGAAATGTGATTGAGGGTTGCTCTAACAGCATAATTTAACTAATAATGATGGAAAGATTATGAGTATATCCATTTATTACCCAATCAAATGATAATAATGTTGTAGCCACTCAGACATTACTCTCCAAAATGCTAATGCTGATGTTTTTTTTTTAATCCAATCGTATCTGTTGTGGTGTGTACATAGTTATTTTAAATTTAAGTATAGAGGTAGGTTTTATGTGAGATTTGTTCCCAGCTGGAGAACATGAGGCATTCACTTGCAAATGTTGGAATCGAATAGACTTCTTAATTAACTTTAAATATTTCAAGGACTAAGATGATAACCATAGCATAAAAAGTATAAATGATGGCTTAGAATTATATAAAGTATGAAATATTGGTATTTTACCTGATTTACATAATCTTACCTTGATAAATCAGCAGTTCATCTGGTATTCGTTCTATCCTACTACACATCCAAGGAATTCCACTGGGTACAAGATCAATGTGTGATGTCATTTTAAATGTTTTAATAGAATTTACTCATGATATTATA